CAGCATACATCTGCGAATCCCACTTTCTTTCTCGCCACCATGTTTGTTGGGATTTCGAGTTAAAGCTCTGGGACCACAATGTGACGCCATGTATTGGAAAAGTTTATTTCCCATTGTGAATTGTCCTGTGATTCCTGGCCAAGATTTAATTTTATGATTGGAAGGCCTGTGAATTTTAAAATAAAAAATCGTAGAGATTAATTAAACATCCAGCTGGAAACCAATAACCTAAAATCAGACCTTAAACCAGTGTGTATCTGGGCCTGGCGCCTCAAATCCAGGTCCAGCTTAATTTATGTTTTACAGTCAAGAAAACAGAAACTGAACTTTTAGAGGGAATATCCTCCAGGTAGTAGGGGGTTGACAAACTGAAGTCATGTTTCGGCTTTTGCGGTACGCTGACCTCCTGCCTAACTTCAGTCCTATTTTGTAATCGAAAAATTTTAGTTATTTAAGCATGAAACTAGTTTTCAAACTACAGTGTTTCTTGAATGTGACCGCGGGCCCATTTGGAACTTCAGTATTGGTAACAGGAAGAAGATTCTCAGTAATAAAAAAGCGAGAATTTCTCTGCCTCCATGGGCTGAACTGATTGGGTCTTCTTGGCTAAACCCTTCGTGTGCTCGCTTATCTGCAAACTACAAACTCACAACTTGTTTAATAATAAAAACGCATGATCGCGCCAGGGCTGCTTTTTGATCCTCTTCTAAAAGAACGATCTCCACAGCAATTCGCCTTTGCCTACCGAACGTCTGAAGCGCAATCGCTTCAGATAAATGGCAAACGAAACAGAGAGCTCTTGTAAGAACTAGGAGAAGCATTATGTGAATGGCAGTTGTTTATTCAGAGTTTGGATGTCAGCGAGCGAGCGTCGTTCTTTGCTCACGAACTGTGGGATCGGAGGGAATTTGAGGAGTGGAAAGCGCTAAAGGAAGAACAGCAGAAAGAAATCCAAGCAACCAGTGCACGTTACAAACGTTACCGGCGATTCATGAAGAATCAGACTGGCAGCACGATCAGCTTTGCGGAATGAATATATTTCGGGATACCGCCCCATGTTTGTACTAAGCTGGTAGAGCCAGTTGGTTTATACGCAAAACTTTCTCCTCTTCTGCTTTTGCACAGAAGCCGCGTATGAATTTGATGCTCTGACCAGTCACCTATCATTTGTTTTGTCCACCAGCGCAA